AAACGCGATAACGACATCACTACTTGGACTTCTGTAGTGTTGCCTGAATGTATGTGAGAATATCACGTCTTGATTATGTTCGTTCCTGGAATTGGACCAGTGAGTAGTACTGTATAGTTCTTTGAATGTTTTTCCTCTTTTCGAAGGTCGCGAGTGAGTGCGCAAATGAAAGTGAGACATAACAAAACAACCCTGCGCGCAAACGCCCACCACGCGACTATCAACAACACCGCATCTGAACAACTTCCATGTTAAAACCTTGAGCTATCGATACACCAAGGCCGGTATGCACGGAGAAGGCACCAAAATGCAAAGCGACACACCAGACCCTCAGCGATTCTTCAGACCCGCACCTACCCCATCACTCGACATCTCTGCGCCCGAGACACATGCAATGCAGACTCCCAAGATATTCAGACGGAAGCGGCCACCCACGACGTCGCGCAACCTTACCGTCTTTGAACCTCGACTCTTCGCGCTCATGCCCGAAGCCGCAGCCAACGAGCTCATCAACACTATGCGCTTGATCCTCACCAGGGGCGGCCACAAGAAGCATCTATTGGAAATGTGGACGCAGAGAACCAAGGATCTTCTCAAGAGGCTTGGGAACAGCGAAGTGATTAGGGTGTATAACGAATTCGCTACTGCACATGGGCTAGTAGAACAGCGGTTGACGTTCAAGCTGCCGTTGGTCGAAGATTCAGAAGATAGGAAACAAGAGGCGGAGAATTTCGATGAAGTGCATGACGATATTGGAAGCCATGGTGCGACCGAAAAGAATGTAGGGGAGGATGCTGCCGTCAACGACGCACTGCAAAAGAAAGTCGGATTCGAGGTCGCACAAAATCCAGATGTCGATATGGAAGACGTATCTTTACCAAAACCCCTCCAGCGTGTCACGAAGGAACATTCCATTCCAAGGACAGCACTTTCGCCTCCACCCTCATCGCCGGTACCACCACCTGCTCCATTCGTTTCCACAAGTGTCGCGTGCGAAAGGCACACTCCCGGTACCTGCACGGTTGTACGAATTCATGATTTCAAAGCTTTTCCCGTGACAAAGATCCAAGAAATCCAAGCCGACTATTATCGAAGCGCTATCATCATTGCTATGTGCGTACACCGCGACAACAACAGCCAGGTCACTCAAGTAACAGCAAGCATGGATAACGGGCCTGTCGACTACCTCCTGATTAACGACCCACGAATCATTACATTCCTAGGTTTCCGCCAGCCACTATACGATCCCATCTACGTCCAACCCAATCCTCGCCTGGATGAGACATACCAGATCCATATGCAGCCAGGCCTAGCACCGCGAAACCCGAAGGCTTGGGTTGTTGGCGAGTTGGTATCGGCGCGACATGCGTATCTATACTGGCTAGATAGCAGGCAGACTGCAGATCCGAAAGCTCCACCTACTATCGCGGAAGCTAGGATCCTGGCTCCCAAGATAGGTCGCCGAGCTAAGGATGTGTGGGAAGAGATTGAGAGGTGTTGGAGATTAGAGCAGGGTAGCAGTGGAAAGCGTCACCGAGAGAACAGGATGGAGTATCTAGGAGAGAATCCAAAGTATCCCGAACGAGAGGAGAGGAGATCGCGAAGGAGCATGTGGGTGTAGGTCAAGGAGCTGTGATTGTATCTTCGACACAGTCGGATTGCAATGAGAGATTTGGGAAACACTGCAACTGATTGACAGTTCAGATATGTCCCGAGTTATACGTAGTCGCTCCGGCCACTTCAATACAGTGAGTGTAGTGAACGAATGTTTGTCTCGCGCGTCGTGTACTGACCCTACACAGCGCGGCCCCAACCGGATCGAGGGTACGTCATTGATCAATCTCCGGTATCAGTATGAGCCAAGAGATCGTATACTCTGCATCTGCTCCGACACAAGCCAGATACAACAAGAATTGAGCTTTACTCGGCTCTTAGTGGTCTACATGTGCCTCGAATCAATCGCTCAAAGCAGAGCGCGCTGCGACGAAGCATAACGAGCTGACATTGTGAGAGCTATACTAAGTTCGATCTATCCTAGCGGACCGCGAAATCAAGCATGAGAAGAGCATCCATTCATCCCCATACCATACACCAGCCGTTACCTCAGTCTGTAGTTTGGATCCACACGCCTGCGCTTCTCTTCATCTTTCCTTTCTTTCAATATGGATGAGAGAGTACAGTGATTCTACTTCTTGCTCTTACGTTTTGGCCGCGTTGCCTGCTTTTTCTTCGTAGATTTAAATGGCTTCTTGGATTTGTCCTTTCCATTTGACTCGGGAGAATCCTCTTCTGATATATCAGCACTTACTTGTTCGCCAGTCTGATCTGTTTCCGTATTGTGCTCGTCTAATCCCTCTGAACTGGCCTCCTGTTCCCGCCCAGACTCTCCAGCTTGATGCTTTTGCTCATCGAGTGCTTCTTTATAGGCAGTCCACCACTCAGCACCCATTCCTGTAATTTTGAGAAGAAGCTTATTTGCGGCTTTTCGATCTTCGAGGATATAGTGATGAATAGCATCAGGTGCTTTCTTCTCGTCGTATTCACCAGCACGCCTGTGAAGCTCCCCTATCAGCTTAGCACTCTGAGCTTGCTCTCGATACTTCAAAGCTGTACGCAGTTGCACGCGATTGTATTGCGTGTAGTCATGTTTCTCGGTGTTCTTGTTTGTCGCCTTGGGTCGAGCTTTGGGCCCAATGGGTGGGCCACGAGCAACGTTGGCTGGTGCTACTGGATCATTGGTGTCTTTCTTGTTCCTCTTGTTACCATCGCCGCCATCATCACCTTCATTATCTTCACCACTGCCTCCGCCTCCGACACCCTCCCCAGCACGGGGAAAACCTGCCAGACCACTGCATTCGCGGTAACTGATCGCAAACAAGTCGTTTTCGTCGTCACTAGAGTCATCGCCGTCATCTGGCGTCTCGTCTATGGTCAATTGATCGTAAAGATCATTCGGTGCTTCTCGCTCGTCAGAATTGTTCCAGTCGGCCCATGTCTCGCCCGCTGAGATAAACAAGCCGCTTTCTAATCGTGTCCTACGAAGATCTCTGGCTGTTGATAAAGCGTCATTGACATGACCATCTGTCGGTGGTCTTTCCGAAAGCCCTAACTCGCGTGCCCGTCGTTCGGAATGAGATTCGCTCATATCTGATCGTTGTTCCCCACACCCCCTGGATAACAACCCAAAGGAAAAAAACCCGGAGGACCGGTCTTCCACCTCCCTTCTTTTCTTTTCAATAGCATCGGTATCGAGTAATAAGTTGTAAGGTTCCATCGGCACCTGCGTCATCCCAAAAAGCTCTCCTAGTCCCACGGAAAAGTTCTTCGCCCTTGGAATACGCATACGTAGCTGATCGGGCGGCATGCTTCGCCAATTCATATTCTGGAGCATACCTACCCCGTTTTCCTCGAAGGCCCTGAGGTCGCTCCTTAGTTTTGTCGTAAGTTTCGTCGCCCGTCATTTTGCAGGGGCATGGCCTTGAGAAAAAGCTAGTTTGGCTCTTTCCTTGACGGCCGCATCGACATCTTCGCGGTATTGCTTCCTGTACTCTGGTGTTTGATAATATAGGTAGTCTCATACGCTAAGGTGGCGTCACGACGCTTAAGATGTGCCCGTGAGCGTTTGTCTGCATTGTCTTGTTGGCCCTTGTCCTCTGCAGCCTCTCTTGCTTTCTGGAGTTTGTATTGAAGAGACTTTTGCTTTTTCTCGATTTCTTCTTGTATTTTATTGATTGGTGCTGCAGTACTTTCTGCCTCAGTTTGGGCATTGTCCTGCTGGATGGCATTGGACGCTGTGGAATTGTTGATTGGAGACGAGGAGGGTTGGGCGGTGTCGTCGTTGCGGGCTGTCGTCTTCAACTTGGATCGGTCTCGCAAGCCTGGCCATCTCTCATTAGGTGACTTCTTAGAATCATCATCGGCATCATTAGCACGTCGTTTCGGTGGCATCACTAGAGCTGATTGTCGGCTTGCACGAGAAGATGTGTTTGTGACAAGAGACGTGATGTTCGCAATCAATTATATGTCAAGACGCAATCCATTGCTGATACAGCCGCCGAACATAAGAACAGGTTTCTAATTCTTTGTCCCGGAATGTGGAACTTAGCGACAAAGAGAAAGTCAATACATCCAAAGAATTGCATGGCTTCTCGCGGCGCCCTATATATTCTTCGATAAACAAAGAAATCATAAGCCGCAATGATCGAGAACAACTTCTCGATGTTCTGTTCATGATGAATGAGGTGATGATGTTCCTCCAGCCATTCACACCTCTACTTTGCGTCCTTCCTTCCTAGCCTCATCAAGGAGCCTCTCCTTATACTCCCGCATGCCTAGCTGATCAGTCGGTGCTGGCTCAACCCCTTCTTGTGTCTTGCTATGCATCGGAACCAGAACAGTCTTATGCAGAACGCGAAAGGCCTCGGCGAGTTCAGGGTCGGAGTAGCCACCGAGCCGCCGTGCATTGTGCATCTTTCGCTCCTTCTCTTTTTCCTTGAGGCGTTTCTCATCTGCGACCTGTTCGGTAGTCTTCCTCTTGCCCTTGGCGCGCCTACCCGCTTGCCCCCTAATGCTACATCGCTCTGACCCTGCCACTTGCACCTCTGCAACCTCAGTTTCGAGCATCCTGTGGTCTTCTTTGCGGTTGTGGGCCGATGCATCGTCGCTGGTACCACCTTCGTCTTCCTCGACCTGCCCTCGCGCCAGTCTAGCCACGCCACTGTTTGCGTTGCGATGTGCCTGAGTAGCAGGTGGCTGGCCATTTCGAGGCTTACGGAGCCGTGTCCGCGCCTGAGCGAGTGTTCGAGTCGAAGTGCTGCCCTCGATAGCAGTTTGTGGGAGGGAATCGTCGTAATCTAGTTCGTTCTGATCATCCATCTCTACGTTGTGGTCCTCTGAAGCAGTGTTGAAATCGCTCCGGGGCTTTTTAGCCGCTGTGACTTTAGTTGGCACAGCTTTACGCTTCTTCGACTCTGCTGGCTCCGTTTCGGCCTTTTTCTGCGTTGAAACAACCCTCTTAGGAATGGCGAGTTTAGTGGCCTTATCTAATGAGCGCGGAAGCAGAGCAGCCATGAGTGGGATGTTCAGTAAATCCCATTCGATCAGTCTCCTGGCTAGCTCCGTTTTAAGTATCCCCGGTTGATGAAGATTGGCCATGTCTGCTGCTTTAGCCATAGGACGCAAGTCCT